CACACACACACACACACACACACACACACACGCGTGTGCGCAGATGCGGATCGTGTCCGTCTTCATGTGTCACTTGTTTCTGCCTTCTTTCCTCCTGTATTTGCATGATGAATGTGTTGTTTTCACTTTCTCTTTCCTCAGGACTAGTTGAGGCTGCTCTTGACGCAGCACCTGAAGCAGGTGTGTGTGTGTGTGTGTGTGTGTGTTCATGAGTGGCATGGCCAGCACGCTGTGTATCACTGTCTCTGATCGATCGATCGATTGATTGACAGCACGCACTGATCAATGAACACTTAACAGCAGCTTGGAGCTTTGCTTGCTTTTGGCTCCACTGATGGACTAACCGTTGCCTCGTCTGCTTGAGCTCATTAACATCACATCACTCGATATCTGCGCTAGCATGGGTTAACCGCGGCTGGCAGCTATTGAACAGCCATCTCCACATCAACCCGGAACATCTAATGTGGTGGATTGTGCTTCAGGACTGTGGCGTTTCACCTGGAATAATAATAATAATTATAATAAAATATAATACTTGTACTAATATATAATAATAAACAATAATCAGGGTTATGATAGTTAACTAAAACATGAAAATGTTATTACTTATTAATATTGTTAATGTTTACAGTTTAATTTTAATTTATTTAGTTGCCAAAGTAACATTTCTGATCTTTGTTTAGTTTAATAAAATATAATAAATATTGACTGAAATAAAATAAACTTTTGTCTAGTTCTAAGGCAACATTTCTCATTTTTCTTAAGTTTAATAAAATAAACATCAACTGAAATAAAATTAAATATATAAAAAGACTCGTTTTGATTTCTCATTTTTGAAGTACTAAAATAACAAAACTAAATAAACTAAAATTAATAAATATAATTAGTAAATCTATATAGACTAATAATGATAATGAAAATGGCAAAACACACAACTTTAACTAAAATTAAATTGGAAACAAAATATAAAAATGAAATTCAAAATCATCGTAGTATATTGAAAATAAAATATTTATAATAAAATAACCGTGACAATAATAATAACAAATAATAATTATATTTATAAAGTACTTTGTTAAGCTCAGAGTTTGCTATACAGAGACATATCGACATATAAAGATAATAACAATGTTCATAAATGAATACACAAATTCAAAACACATGGTGTGTTAATGCTAAAAATTGTAATGATCAATATTAATAATTTTCAGTGAGGATTTTTAATGTGCCAATTCCTTATTGAGCGTGATTTACCTCATTAAATGAAACTAAACCAGTGTGAACGGTGTCTGTGTTAGACTGTGATTTGTCCTCAGCTGATGGCTGTTCAATAAAGCACAGGTTTCTTTTTCCTTTTCTTTTCCTTTCTTTTCGCATTTGCACTTTAACCCCTCCCCTCCCGTGCCATCACTGGCTCCGCCCCTCGGCGTCTCCTGCACTGTGGGTAGGTTCGGTGGGTGCTGACGGGATCATGTGATCACGGATCATACAGGAATGGGAAGGATTGTGGGAAATGGGAAATCTGTCCCGCCGATGTGCCGTACGCAGCCGGAGACAAAAGTGGAGAACCGCAGAGAACGCGTGCAAAAACATGTCCCGATCATCACAGAATCAAAAGAACAAAACAAGAAATTATATTTAGCTGAAAATTAAGAACATTCCATTTTTTATTTATTAAATTAAGAAAATTTAAACCTGGTTTTAAATTGTTTTTATTGTTATTTTTACAACAATTAAGCAGTGTAGTTCTAGTAATATATTAATTCTATTGTAGTATTTATTAATATTTTGAATTAGTCTTTTAAAGTAAATATTTTTTACATTTTATGTTTTCATAATAGTTTATGTATGTGCTTATCTTTGTTAGTTTTTAGCTTTAATTTATTTAAAAAAATAAAAAGATAATAATATTCATAAATAAATTCACAAGTTCATAACATATTGTGTGTTAATGTTAAAAATTGTAATGATAAATATTTAATAATTTATTTTATTTCAGTTGTAGTTTTACTATTTTTAGTATTTTTCTACTTGAACTTATTTTAGTTCAGAGTTTAAGTTTTTACTTTAAGTTAAAGATTTTCCATCTAATATTTATATTTTATTTTAATAAAACAACTTTTAATAGTTTTAGTTAACAATAACAAGATAAGGCAAATTTTCTAGCTTTTGTTTTTATATTTTTCATTTTAATTTTAGTTTAATTTTTAATAGGTCACTTTTTAAAATGTTTCTATTAAATGACAATTATTTTGTCTTAGTAATTTTAGTTTTTCAGCTTATTTCAGTTAGCAACATTTATAATTAATATTTAAGTGTAAGTTTGTCATCCAATATTTAGATTTTATTTCAGCTTTTTTTTTTCAATTAGCGAAAACAACTTTTAATAGTTTAAGCGTAACAGCTAAAATTATTTTAATAAAAAAAAAAAAAAAATTAAGTTCTGTCAAAATGTGATCTACTCTGTTTCTTTTGATTTTGTGGTTAAATATGATCCGAACATGTTGTTGACGCATTTCATGAGATTCCTTTTTACCAAGCAGTTTGCTTCCTATAAATTAAGTCTATTATGTGCTGAGAACATAATCTTTCTTTAAAGTCGATCTTAAAGGCATTAATTGCTTTTGAGACTTTGACATTGAATTCAAAGCTGTGAACGAGTCTCTGAAGCTGCTCCACGTTTTGTCATCCGCCGAACGAGTCAGTCCTGCGTGGCTCTGCTAACGAGCGTCTGCTGTGCTCAGACCTGCTGGAGGAGACGGAGAAGCTGATGGCGGAGAAGGTGGAGGTGCAGCGTCAGGCGCAGAAGGAGAGCGGCGAGCTGCTGCAGCAGGTGAAGCAGCTGGAGGCGGAGCTGGAGGAGCAGGTGAGCCGTCTGCAGGAGCTGCAGGAGACGCACAGCGCCGAGACGGCAGACCTGCGGCAGCAGATACAGGCCTTAGAGAAGCAGCTGGAGAAGAACCGCAAGTTCATGGACGTGAGTCGCTTCAGCATGCTTCTTCAACGTGACCCTTTATTTCTCGCAATTCTCACTTTTTTTCCTCAGTC